CAAGCCCACCAAGGCCGAAAGAAAATCCAACAAGGATGCAGACGCCGCTATGGCGTTGCAGGATCTCAAGCAAGGATAAGTGTCTGGGTCACTGCAGCAAACACACTCTCCGATACGGAGAGAGCATTACATATAGTTTATGGATAGAGGAAGCGCTGAATTATACCCCCGCGGTGGACTGTATTTTGTATACCGTACTCCAAAATCGAGGTGCAATCGACATGTATGGTTCGTGACTCTTCACAGACATTCTTGACTCGTCCGCAACCGTACTCTTTCACAACCCGTGACGGATGATCTCGTAAGACTCTAGACCGAGGGTCTTGACGCTACGCCCAGTCCAGGGCCCTGCAGTAGGGCATCCATCGTCTGCATTGCGAACAGAGCTTTGCGTGCGATCTGGCGTGCTGTTGTTCGAGAAGGCTAGTCCCAAGTCGGGACGCTGTACATGCCCAAGCGCAGAAAAAAAAAAAAAAAAAACATCCAAGCCTAGCGGGCGAGTCAGGTTTTGTTTTTCTTGTTGTTTGGGCCCTTGATCTTCTCTGGGAACAAGAAAAGTGTTTCTTCTAGAGCTTGGTGCCAGTGTCGCAGGTCCACGTGGAGGAGCTTATGAGGCTGGGCGTCAGCTCCATACTTTTAGGTACGTGTCGTTGAACACTGCAGGTCACTTGGTTGTCACTCTCTTGTCAGAGATAACACAACTGGCTGCCAACTCCAAGTTGTTGAAGAATGGCGCGCTAATATGGGGTTTAGGCTGTCTGGAACCACTTAGCAGTCAATAGTCTGCAAGGCAATGGGCGCCAATCTTGTTGCCACTCCAAGACGACGATATCACACGCGTGTGAGAACCAAACAGTCGGTATCTCTGCGATGGCGAGCCCTACCTTCAGGGATCCCTGGTCCGTCAAAGTCCAAGGATCTGGCAGGTCGTGAGTGAGCGCCAGATGGTCCGTTACATCCCGCTTAAGCTGGATCGCAAAGTGGTAGCTGAGCCATCGCGGGCAGACGGAGTAGACCCCGACCAGCTGCCTTACGACTTAAGTAAGGGCTCTGACGAACGCATTGATACCAAGCGGGGATCACGAGAGATGCGAGCTTTGGGACTCATGTACGATGTGTATTCTCCGAGACACGAACAACATCCGTGAGATCGCGGTGCGGCTGAAGTTCGGCATGGAAGCCTGGGGTATTCTTCAAGTCGGTGACACGAATCGTGGGCCGAGAGTGCAGTAGGCTCGGCCGGCGCACGTTCTGGCAGATTTCAGCTCCGCATCTGCAGCCTCATGATGGGCCAACAGAAAGATGTTTCGAGAGGCGAAAGCTCACATTAGCCGCTTGATGCTGCGTGTGGAAGCGCATAAAGGGTCCAGAACCTTCAGCCTTCGGGTTCGCAACCTTTACGAAGGGTGCGTAAAGTTTCCTTGAACCTTTGGCCTGGATGTGTATCCAGTCGGTCTGCCCGCTTCGAGTGCCGAGCCTTGCATATTGATTCGAAGCGGCCATCAGCTATCACGCCATCCAGGGCAAGGTTCTGCCACAGCCTTTGGGTTCCTGAACCATGCTTTGCCTAAGAGCGAGAGCGGAAAGAAACAATCCACAATGAAGCATCTCAAGGGCGCGAATAGGATAGTTATCCCAGTAGCCCGAAAGAGTCTCCAGCTCGTCGGGCCAGGCAAGCATGGCAGATGACTAGGCGACTTTCTCCAAGCTTACTTCGTGCTCCACCTGTCGATAATGGAACGAAAAGTAGGCAGATGTTTTTGACTGGATGTTGATTGCCAGGAAAACTGCTGAACATGCCGGAGACGTTATTGTACCACATCAGATACACGTGGTGGTTCGTCAGGCAGTTCTGCTGGTGGCTGCCATGGTTTGAGCTTTTGCGTTTCCGGAAGACTGTCCCTTGAGGGAGCGAGCTTCCAGACCATAGCATCCTAGCCCATAAGATAACCGAACCTAGAAAGACTGAAGCTGGAGCTTGCTGGAACACGTGAGACACGGGACAAAAAGAAAGTGTTTGGCGAAGAAGCAGTTGGCGAGGAAAGAGCGGTGGCGTTTTTGGGGGAAGCTGGAAAAGCCGGAGGGTGTGTAAGAGGGTGTCGAGTGGTTGGTGGTGAAGCAAAGTCGAGATGGTGTTGTTGATGATTGGTAAGGAGATGTGGGAGGTGAGGAGTCGTTGACCGAGAACGCTTGGTGGAAGCCGGGACGTCATTCGCTCCCGGAGCAGGAGGAAAGGGCGGAGTGGTGGCGGTGGATCCCGCTAGAAGCACCGGACTTGCGCCCCGTCCTCCACAGGTGGCTTCCGCCTTCTGCAACACAGACGGGGGCAGGAACTGGGGAAATTGGCGCTTATCTAAGGCAGCGAGCCACTTTCCCCCGCTACGAATACCTGCCTTCCTTCTGTCTAGACTTTTGTGTAGGTACCTGCTACCTGCTACCTGTGCCGAGATTGCCATCCAGGTTCCGTTCCATTCCCTCGGGCAGGAACTGCCTCGTTGGTGGCTGTTGGGATAGGTCCCTAGGTACTTTACGTGGCGTCAAGGCGTTCCGTTTCTTCACCGAGCTCTGACTTCCTTTTCTAAGGTAGGTACCTGAGGTGAGGTGGTCCAGATCTCGCCTGCATCTGCACCTGCTCACCTTGGCTCATCCATCTGAGCAGGACAAGGAAGGAAGGGACGATCTTGGATCTTGATGGCGATCCCTGCCTGCCATTGCACTGCACAAACTGCACAAACCCTTGGCCTCACAGGCCAACTCGCAGTTAACCTTGTTCCGTTCCAGTTTACTTTACCTAAGGCAAGGTGCCGTAGGTAACCAAATTTCAACTTCATTTGACCGCAATGTGTCACCTCGCCGGCTTCCGTCTCCTCTTCGGCCCTGACTCCGGGCTCTCTCGCAGCTTACTACCTCAATTACCCATGCAGACTATACCTAGTGCGACCAATTCTGCAAATCCTATCAGTTGACAATATCAACATCACAAAGCATGGGAGGTAGTGTCTCTGTTTGCTACCCTGATCTGGGCATTTTCGAGCTTAGCCGGACAAGCTCCTTTCTGAGCTCCATTCCCCATCCGGCACATGGCACTTGTCTCTTGTGGAGATTTCCATTCAAGATGGATTAGCATTTCACCATACGGATATCTGCATACGAAGCATATGAGTACTTACGAGGAATACGCCCCGTGTGGGATGCCTCGTTGGGACGCCACGAGTCTCACCTGTCGCATGTTCTTTCAGAACCACGAGGGTAGGCACCATGAGGCCATGCCTTCCCACGCCCTCCCGTCTAGTTGGACTTGTTGATGGTGTCTTCGACAAGTATGGGTTGATGGGAAACTTTCAACCGAGTCGTCAGCCATCCATACATAGGGTTGGCAACTCTCGACATCGAGATCGCGGATCACAACCTCCGGTGTAACGCGAGACAGACAAGCCTCAGAGCATAAAGAAACTGTCTCTGCTATCCCATTCCTAACGGCCTGGGGTCCTTAGCCAATGCTTGACGCCCCCGCGCCCTCGTCGACAAAGAAGAGGCAATCCAAAAGCATACACATCTGTGTCTTGCCGCGTAGTGGCCTTCGCACACGGCAAAGGCAATAGACGTGGGCATATCGAAAAGTCGCAATTGCCGCTTCCCCTCCAGAATTCGATGGAGCGATCGACACAACTCACCAGGCACGCCGGCTTAGCCAGGTCAACACTGCCTGCTGTCTCACTTTAGACAACACCAATGGACAACAAAACAATGTGGTCGTTGAAGTGGTCGATCATCACCGAATCCGGCGATTCCATGGCATCCGCTGGTGTTTGGTCCCTGGAAAACATTAGTCAATATCACCACAGTTTGGGGAACCCTCAACGTTGTTCATGGAGAACACGGTTACCGCGCGATTTCGGTTCACCAAACTTTGCGAATTGCCTTCCAAATTTACCATACATCTGTGCGAGTTGCAATTCTTCGGAGCGTTTCCATGACGTATTGGCAAATGGCTTCTCGCGCTTCTCGGCAGGCATTGTCCGCTTGAAGAATCACAAGTCTCCGCATATAGAGCCGCTGCGCTTCTTGACACTCTCCTGAAGACGCTAGCGGACTCTTTGACGCTGGGCTGGGACCGCAAGCTCTCATTCTCTGCCTGCGCTGGATGGCGCTTTGGCTCCTCGAAGCACTTGTGGGAGCGTCTTACCTACCTTAGTCTCCCTCTTCTCTGCCACACATGGTACCAAAACTCCCACGCCTGGACGCTTCAGGAGACCCGTCTGGCTGATCGGATTTTCCTCTTGCTGCCGCTTCAAACATCTTGTCAAAGCTTAAGCAACACGGGGCTTGTTTTCCCTTTGTCGTTCAGTTAACAAGCGCCGTGTTCTGGATTGTTTTGCATTCTGAAGTATCGACAGAGTTGCTCTGCCTGCAGGGGGGATGCTTCGGTGCACACCAAAATCTGGGGCTACGGAAGATGCGGAAGACCACGGAGAGGCGAACGACTTACATGATGGACAGGATGGGTACTTGAAGAGTACTTGTCGAGTTGGAAGAAGTGCCCACCACTTCAAAGTCATAGGCTCGCCCGCACGAACGCCTCAGGGTTCTTCCAGAGCCTCGCTATTTCTGGACTTGTAGGCCCTCGTCCTCAGTCATATCTCTACCCTCGTCCGCCTTGGGAACACAGCTGTCCACGTTTGGTTTTCACATCTCAATCGATCCGTCTCGGCTTGCCAGGCCGTTGCTGACACTCCTCGTCGTCCTTCTGATTCGTTGTTTCGCTTTTCGAGCATTTTCTATTCGCTTTGCCGATTGGGCCCCAGCTGCTGCTCCGGCCAGACGTATTCTCGGATCGGCCACCCACCACACCAACTCTGGGAATATTGCTCCTTGCGTTGAGCTGATACGCTTTTGGGTGGTCCACCTCTGCATGGGATTGGACGCCTCAGTCGAACTGGCAGCCCGACACTGATTTTCGAATCCAAGACGAACGGAGCCCACGCCGCTTTACTATAAAAATGGTCAATCCTAATCGATGGTCATGGTCGGCGGGGCCACGAAGAAGTTCAATCCGAGGGGATGCGGTGAGCAGCTCTCAGCCATTAGCACGTTCTCCCGACAAGCCCATTTCGTGCGAGGTCGACGTCCCAAACGACCAAAACCTGCAGGGTGGCGGCGCTACCAGTGTCTCATCGCGCCGTTTGACCAAGAATCGGTGGAGCTGGCGGCCAGACGCAGCCATATCGGTGACCCTGGAAGATCAACCAGAGACAACACAGGGCGAGAGGCAAGACAGGGAGCAAAACTCGGAGCAAGTAGACACATCAGCAAGCAAATCCCGCCGCTTGTCGAAACTGATCAAAAAGACAAATACCGCTCCTATTTCTGCGTCTCGACCAAAACGGAGGCCGACGTCCATGATAGCACCGACAAGCTCTTCTTTCGGAGCATCACCTTCTTATTCCCACCCCGCTTCCCAGGCGGTGCAGCAGCACATAGCTGTCGAGGAGGATCAGGATCATTCCTCTCGCGCAAGCCCCCTTCCAAACCAGCCTGCCACAGGGGTCAAGAACAAGCTCAATCGCTTTCTCAGTCGACACATCACCACCCGGCAAGTTGACAAGAGAGCTGTGCTGGTGCAACATCAGCATCAGCAGACACAAGGAGATCCGACACCGCCGCCATCCGGACTACAGCAGGAAAAGCAGAGACCCATGCCGATGCAACCCCCGATGCGCCATCGTCTCCAACTCCACAATCCCCAGAACACGCTTCGGGCATCGCCAGCCCCCCCTGTCGCCCACATTCAGACTCAAGGTTACACTGACAACGGTCGTCTTGTTGCACCGCTGCCAGGGCTTGACGAAAACTCGCAGCTGCAGCTGCCGCCAGCGACAAGCCGACCCGCGACTGTCACGGGTCCAGTACCGGCAGCGGCGCAAAGTCTTGGTACTGGTACCTCACCGTCAATGACTGCCGCACCTCCGGCAGACGAGACAGGGTTGCTGAACCGCCTTATGCGACGACGATTGGTTTCCAAGGACAAGGACGCTCAGAATAAGAAGACGTCGATTTCCGCCGGGAACGATCATACAAGTTCGTCACAGAGCCTCGACCAGCAGCGGGTCACGGAGCAGCGCGAGACGCAGACAGGGCCTCTGCTCATGAACCCGCTCATGTTGAACCCGTCGCACCCAACACCTGCCGAAAGTGAGACTGTCTTGGATGCGCGAAGAGGCTCTTTGAAGTCTGCAGTGCCCCGATTCCTACGTCCAGTCACACTAGCACAGCAAGCACCTACGAATGCGACTCAGACTGCCGGCGCCGCCAACTCACCCAAGCCCAAGTCGCCTCCCCGACAGCAGTCAACCATGCAGACCTCGAGTTCTGATACGGCGACGCAGCTCAAGTCGCGATCCAAAGCGAGTTTCGGAAAAAGATTCTGGTCAAGATCCGGCGCCAATGACTTTGGAGAGGACAACGTGACCAGCACCGAGACACCGGCAACAGCATCGGCGCCGCGAACGGCCTATGTTCCTAAACACGCGGCGGCTGACTTTTCGCGTACGACTTTCACAAATACGTCGCGCCACAATCGCCATAGCTTTTCCTTTGGTAGCGACCCGGACAACGGCGCTCAAGCACTGGCCACAATAACGGCCGCCTCCTCCAGGGTGAATGAGCTGGAGCAGCCTCTCCACAGGCAACGGACGCCATCCGCAGAGACTGCCGAGAAGCGCAGGTCACGGGACATGTCGCTGTCCAAGTACGAGGCGCCGCCTCCCCACGAACTGCACCGGCGTCTCGAGATTGTTAAGAGCAGCGAAATTGAAGTGGTAACCACTAGGGAACCGGTCGCGATCGACCCCTTGCAGCAGCAGCAGCACAGCCTGTTGCAAAATGCTTCAAATACATCGTCGGCGAACGGCAAGGCTCCAGCAAGACCTCACTCTCGTCCATTATCATCCCAACGACACAGCTTCAATCTTGTATCCGACCCATACGCCAGAGACCTCACACCGCCAAAGTCAATTTCTCCAGTCGAGATGGAAGCGCCATTTGACCCGCCAAGCCAGCCAGAGCAGCAGCAGGCGCCACCATCAGCACCGCCACGGCCTACCTCGTCTCACACTCGCCCGCCATCCCGACAAGAGACTCCGTCTCAAGAGAGTGGTAGCCGCGAACCGACGGATTATGAACGTTTCGTGGCAGAGGCAGAGATTGCGGAACGCGAATATCACGCCCAAATGTGGCGAAACCTCGCACGGCGTTCGGGACACTACGGGTACAGCGACAACCCCTGGAGCACGACTCGACAAGCGGATGCTACTGCTCCTGCTGGGCAACGCAACAACAAGAGAAGCAGCGCGCAGTACTCGACGGGGGCTGGCAAGCGTGCAAGCATGATGTCGTTTGGCGCGGCAGACGACGAGCGCAACCTGATCTCGTCAAGCTTCTACGGGGAGGCGCCACGCAAGCCGAGTCTCTCGCACAGCGCTAGTGTAGGTGCAGACGGGAAAAGGGGACTTCGACACCAGGGGAGCGTGTCGAAGAGAATCTCTGACTACATTAAGCCACCAAAGCCATCTCAGCAAGCCACTTACGAGGATTGGCCCTCTGGACGAGCCAACCGACGAAGTGTCATTGCTGGGATTTCTGAGTATTGAAGAATGAGACATGATGGAGGCGTTTGCGGATAGAAAGGATCATTGCCTTTGGGGTGCTGGATATTGATTGCATACCACAGTAGAAGGGAGAAGGGATGTTTTATTGGCTTGGCGCAACATGGACACCAAGACGACGATTTCCGCGGATGATATACCACGACATAACTATTTCCTTAACTTTTTTTGTATCTGAGGGTCAGCCTCATACCAAATAAAACAAGATGCCAATTACAGTGGGTTCGTTGCATGAAGTGATGTAAGGTAAAGGTAAGGTAAGGTAAGCTGTCCTGTATCGGACGGGAAGCGACGGAGTATCGGGGTCCTCTATCGCGGGGCCTCTCGGCGGAGTTGAGCGGCGGGGAAAAAGAGAGACGGCACGGATCAACCTCGCACGTTTGGATTGGACGTGAGGAATCCTCACGGCGGAAATCCAAGGTTAAGGGGGCCTGGGACTGCCCGGATAGCTTAGGTAAGGCAAGTAAAGAAGGCACGAAGGATTCCAGGGAGGTACCTTAGGTAGCAGGGTCCACGTACGCTACGTACTACGTACCCCATGAGCCACTGAGAGCAAAGGATGAGTGGCCACATCAGGCCAAAAGAGCCAAAAGAGCACCCTGTTCCATCAGCTCTGAGGCCTGTGAGTGGCCTTCTCCAGGTACCCAGCTTCCCAATTCGCCATCGCGAAAGAGAAAAAAAAGTGACAGATAACCACCATCTGGCTTTTTTTTTATTTTATTTTTTTATAACGTCTGTCGCCTTCGGCTGGATTCTGCTTTCCGCCGCTCACTTCTCCGCCGCCAACGACGCGAGACCCCACAGTAAGGAAGTAGTAGCAGTAGTACCACTGGTGCACCACCACCACCACCACCACCAACCAGCCCTGATTCTGACACGGGTCACCTTTAACATCTTCACATCGCAACATCTCTTTGTTGTGCTCCATCTGCATCAACCAGGAGAACCACTGTCGATGCAACAAGGGACATAGCATCATCCGACAAACAACCCGCCCTCTTTCATTTTGTCCGCCGTTCTGTCGCTTGATCCACGATATCGCGCGCAATCGCCCACCATGGCGCCCCTCGTGGACAACCCCCAGATCAAGGTGGCCGAGCTGTGGAAGCCTTTACCGACATACTTCCACGCCTACGTCTGGCCCTTTGCCATCATCTGGCCCATCTTCCTCCGCTACTACCTTACCGCCGAGCTCTACGAGAAGCACATCGCATCCGAGGAATGGACCTTTGTGTGGATCGGCTCCATCGTCACCCTTCAGTCCCTCGCCTGGCTGAGCACTCACTGGAGTGTCAACCTCCAAGCTACCTTTACTGCCACCCGCGCCAAGTCAATTGACGAGGCCGAGCTCGTCAAGATCATTCCTGTCGCCAACGCCGGCTCTGCCGAAATCTGTAAAATCATCCGCGACAAGGTAAGCTAAGCCCCTTGCGAACAAGCGAGCCATCCTGCTCCTCCTCCTCCTCCTCCTCCTCCTCCTTTTCTGCTCTCCGCAGTCTGACTGACCTTTGCTCTTTCACTCGTGCAGGTTGGCGGCAAGATCAACACCACCTTCTTGTTCCAGAAGCGCCGCTTCATCTACTTCCCCGAGGACAAGTCCTTCCGAACCCTCGCCTACGATATCGATGCCGAGCCAAAGCCCAAGATCGGACGCTACCAGCAGTCCAAGGGCATCACCACCGAAGCCGAGCTGAAGAGAATCGAAGAGCACTATGGCGCCAACGCCTTCGACATCCCCGTTCCTACCTTTACCGAGCTCTTCAAGGAGCACGCCGTCGCACCCTTCTTCGTCTTCCAGATCTTCTGTGTTGGCCTGTGGATGCTCGACGAGTACTGGTACTATTCGCTCTTCACCCTCTTCATGCTTGTCGCTTTCGAGAGCACCGTCGTTTGGCAGCGCCAGCGTACACTCAACGAGTTCCGTGGCATGAGCATTAAGCCTTATGATGTCTACGTATACCGCTTGGGCAAATGGACTGAAGTCCTGAGCGACAAGCTTCTGCCTGGCGATCTCGTCTCCGTAGGTCGCACCAAAGAAGATAGCGGTGTCGCCTGCGATATGCTGCTTGTCGAAGGAACCGCCATTGTCAACGAGGCCATGCTTTCTGGTGAGAGTACCCCTCTCCTGAAGGACTCCGTACAGCTTCGCCCCAGCGACGCCCCCATCGAGCCCGAAGGCCTTGACAAGAACGCTTTCTTGTGGGGTGGTACCAAGGTTTTGCAAATCACCCACGGCAACCCCGATGAAGAGAAGCCCAAGCTGGCATCCGGCGTCCCTCCTCCTCCTGACAATGGCGCCATGGCTATCGTCCAAAAGACCGGCTTCGAAACCTCCCAGGGCAGCCTTGTCCGCACCATGATCTACTCCACCGAGCGTGTTTCCGCCAACAACGTTGAGGCTCTGCTCTTCATCTTGTTCCTCCTCATTTTCGCCATCGCCGCTTCCTGGTACGTCTGGGACGAGGGTGTCAAGAAGGACCGCAAGCGCTCCAAGCTTCTGCTTGACTGCGTCTTGATCGTCACCAGCGTCGTTCCTCCCGAACTGCCCATGGAACTCAGTCTTGCCGTGAACACCAGTTTGGCAGCGCTGGCCAAGCTTGCCATCTTCTGCACCGAGCCCTTCCGTATTCCTTACGCTGGCCGCATTGACATCGCCTGCTTCGACAAGACTGGTACCCTGACCGGCGAGGACTTGGTTGTTGAAGGTATTGCTGGTCTAGGACTCGGTCAGGAGGGCACCAGCACCCCTCGCGAGGCCGACGGTGCGCACTCAACCATGACCCCCGTCAACGAAATCCGCCTGGATACCACTTTGGTTCTCGCTACTGCCCATGCACTTGTCAAGCTTGACGAGGGTGAAGTCGTTGGCGACCCAATGGAGAAGGCTACTTTGACTTCTCTCGGCTGGACTCTTGGTAGAAACGACACCCTCGCCAGCAAGCCCACCACAGCTGCTACCACTGGCGTCAGCGGAACTGTTCAGATCAAGCGCCGCTTTCAATTCTCCTCCGCCCTCAAGAGACAGAGTACTGTTGCCACTGTCAACGGTGCTGACAAGGCTGGCAACCGGATCCGTGGCACTTTTGTCGCTGTCAAGGGCGCTCCTGAGACCATCATGAAGAGACTCTCCATTATCCCTGCCGACTACGAAGAGACCTACAAGTACTTTACCCGACGCGGTTCCCGTGTTCTTGCACTCGCCTACAAGCAGCTCACTGTTGATAACGAGCTCGGAGGTAGCAAGATCAACGACCTTAAGCGCGACAACGTCGAGTCTGGACTCACTTTTGCCGGTTTCCTGGTCCTCTCCTGCCCTCTCAAGGATGACGCGAAGCAAGCTGTCCAGATGCTCAACGAGAGCAGCCACCGTGTCGTCATGATCACCGGTGACAACCCCCTTACCGCTGTCTACGTTGCCCGCGACGTTGAGATTGTTGACCGTGAGGTTCTGATTCTCGACGCCCCCGAGGACAACGAGGGCGGCGACAAGCTTGTCTGGCGCAGTGTTGATGAGAAGACTATCATCCCTGCCGACCCCTCTAAGCCTCTTGACCCCAAGATTCTTGAGAACAACGATCTCTGTGTTACCGGTTACGCTCTGGCCAAGTTCAAGGACCAAGTCGGCTGGCGCCAGATCCTCCGTCACGCCTGGGTTTACGCGCGTGTGTCGCCCAAGCAGAAGGAGGACATTCTCGTTGGTCTCCGAGACATGGGTTACTATACATTGATGGCTGGTGACGGAACCAACGACGTCGGTGCCCTCAAGCAAGCCCACATTGGTATCGCTCTCCTCAACGGCACTATGGACGACTTGACTCGCATCGCCGAGCACTCCCGGAACACTAAGATGAAGGAGATTTACCAGAAGCAAGTTGACCTCATGAAGAGGTTCAACCAACCCGCACCCCCCGTTCCCGTCATGATCGCCCATCTGTACCCTCCTGGCACTAGCAACCCCCACTTCACCAAGGCTGTCGAGCGCGAGGCCCAGAAGAAGAATATCACCCCCGAGGAATGGCTCAAGGCTAACGGCGTCAGCGCCATCGAGACCGTCACTTCCCCTGGTGCTAAGCAACTTCTTAACAACAACGACCCTAACGCTGCTCGTCAGGCCAAGGCTGCCGCCAACGCCGCTAGCTTTGCCGACAAGATGACATCCAGCCTGATGGAGACCGAGATGGGTGATGATGAGCCTCCTACGCTGAAGCTTGGTGATGCCTCTGTCGCGGCTCCTTTCACCAGCAAGCTGCGCAACGTTATTGCCGTTCCCAACATCATTCGCCAGGGCCGCTGCACACTCGTCGCGACCATCCAGACATACAAAATTCTCGCTCTTAACTGCCTCATTAGCGCTTACAGTTTGAGTGTGTTGTACCTCGAGGGTATCAAGTTCGGTGACGGACAGTACACCATCAGCGGTATTCTGATGAGCGTGTGCTTCTTGTCCATCTCTCGTGCTCGCGTTGTCGAGGGTCTCTCCAAGGAGCGACCCCAGCCCAACATTTTCAACTTTTACATCATTGGTTCGATTCTTGGACAATTCGCCGTCCACGTTGTCACTCTCATCTACATTGCCCGATTCTGTGACAGACTGGAGCCGTAAGTTTATCCTAGATACTACGTCTGCGAAGCAAACACTGACAGTGCAACAGCCGCTCCGGTGACGTTGATCTTGAGGCCGAGTTCGCGCCCAGTCTCCTCAACAGCGCCGTCTACCTGCTTCAGCTCATCCAGCAGATTAGCACGTTCGCCATCAACTATCAGGGACGTCCTTTCCGTGAGGGTCTTCGCGAGAACAAGGGCATGTTCTACGGTATTGTCGGTGTTTCTGCCCTGGCCTTCTCCTGCTCCATGGAGTTCATCCCCGAGATCAATGAACAGATGAAGCTGGTCCCCTTTAGCGATGAGTTCAAGATGACCATGACGGGCATCATGGTTATCGACTACGCCGCCTGCTGGGTCATTGAGGTTGTTCTCAAGAACCTCTTTTCTGACTTCCGCCCCCGCGACATTGCTGCTCGCAGACCCGAGCAGCTGGAGCGTGAGCGCGTCCGCAAGGCGGCAGAGCAGAAGATCAAGGACGAAGAGGAGGAGAAGAAGGCGCAGGAGAAGGTGGCCGAGTTTGAGCGCAAGGTGGAGGAGCGCCGCCAACAGCTCGAGGCATGGAGAACGGGCCGACAGAGGCAGTAGATAGATGTGTCGGGTTTAGACTAATTGTGTAACCAAAACAAGTTAGAGACGCAAAATGCGTGTGGAGAGATGTATGATAGAGAATGAGCATCATGATATGTGCATACAGTACTTTGTCGTAGTCTGAGTTTTGGAGAAGCTGTGTCTTGAAATCCTTTACAACCGGATCTTCATCAGGTAACCAAGACTTTTGTTTGCTACACAAGAACCATCAAAAAGATGTAGTAAGCCTGCCTTTGTCAGGCGCTATTCGCAGGTAGGTAGATCTTAATGACTATCTACGAAGCGCTCACGCATGCACGTCTTTCAACAGGAAATAGTCGGTGTAACGTAGGGGATGTTGGATCACGGCATGTTAAGGAATAAAGTTTGAAGTCAAGCGTGTTTGAAATTTTATGGTACAGAGGCAGACGCAAAGTCGATGCCACGAGTAGGTAAAGCACGACTTTTGGTGTGCGCTTCTGTGTCTACCCGTCATCCTTTTCTTTCTTTGCCAGTCGGATTAGACTGAAAAAAAAAGTAGTGGAGGATGTGATTTTGTTTTGTTTTCAACTCTGCTCAACCTATTTGTGTAGGTTTCCATCTACTACAACACGTCCCCTAGTTTACATCAAAAGTGACACACGGAAAGTGTTGCACTTATTTGGGGGGGTTGGAGGCGACAAAGGCAACACCCTTGGCAATGTTCTTCTTGAGGTCGGCGAAGCAGGCCTCGAGGAGCTTCTCCTCGGCGGCGTCAACCTTGCCGAGGGGAAGGATCTTCTCGACACCGTTGGGGCCGAGCTCGACCTTTGAGGAGAAGAAGTCGATGCCCTGGTCCTTGTAGAGGGGGGAGTCGACAAAGGTGGGCTCGACGATGCCCTTCTCGCCGTGGGAGGCGCGGAGGAGGGACTCGGCCATGCGGGCACCGGCGAAAGCCATGGAGAGGGTGGCGGAGCCGGCGCCGTCCTTGGCCTTGACGACCTCGTCACCGCCGAACTGGACGCGGTTGACGAGCTCGGCGTTGGAGGAGAGGTCGGGGTGGTTGGACTGGGAGAAGAGGGGGACGATGGTGACGCCCGAGTGGCCGCCGACGACGGTGATGTTCTCGTCCTTGGGGTCGGTGGACTTGATCTCGGAGACGAAGCGGGAGGCGCGGACGACGTCGAGGGTGGTGACGCCGAAGAGGCGCTTGGGGTTGTAGACGCCGTGGGCCTTGAAGACCTCGGAGACGATGGGGACGGTGGAGTTGACGGGGTTGGAGATGACGAGGATGTTTGCGTCGGGGCAGGACTCGGCGCAGGCCTTGGCGAGGTCGCGGACGATGGAGGCGTTTGTGTTGAAGAGGTCGTCGCGGGTCATGCCGGGCTTGCGGGGGACGCCGGCGGGGATGAGGACGACCTCGGCGCCCTTGAGGGCGCTGGCGAGGCCGGTGGCGGTGGGGTCGTAGCCCTTGACGACGGACTTTGTGTTGACGTGGGAGATGTCGGCGGCGACACCTGAACAGGAGTCAATTGGGTGTTGCTGGAGAGGAAGATGGAGATGGAGATGGAGATGGAGATGGACTTACCAGGGCCTCCGCGGATATCGTAGAGGGCGAGCTCAGTGACTCTGGGGTTGAGCTTCATGAGCAGGGAGAGGGGCTGGCCAATACCACCGGCGGCACCGAGAACGGTGACCTTGGAGAGCTATAGGCATGTTGTCAGCTGAATGGTCTTTTGGCTGTTTCCATTGTATGTGATGATGCATTTGTGTTTGTTGACGTTTGATCATGACGAAGCTTCATAGCTTGTGTCTCCCTTCAGTTCCGTGCCCCGAGGTCGGCTTTTCGGAGCTATGGAGAAGAGAGAGAGAGAGCTCTGCTTTGATGCGCAGCCAGATAGGAATTGGGAGCTAAAGGATGACTTACGCTTCTCGCCGAGGCGGAGAACATGCGGCGCTGGACGAAAGACATGATTGCGACGAGGAGGGGGGGGATGTGTAGTAGGTAGATGGTACACAGTTAAGATGGATGAGGGAAGAAAAAAAGAGCAGAGGTTTAAAAATTTATGAGGCGCGCGAAATAAGTTGGCACACACCTCTCACACAGCAACAGCGCAGCAGCGGAGGACAACAGGACACTCAACAGAGAGCACACGCACCACACGGGAGCCACAGACAGTGGATTGACGGGGGCCCGGGAATGGCAGGATGCGGCCCTGCGAGTGGGTGAAGGCTTTAGAAAGGGCCCACCATCCACTGTTTCCCCCCCGTCATTCCCGGCCTTTCTTTCCACACCTTGTCAGCACCTCAGGTTCCATTTCTCGGCTTCGCTCTTGTCTCTACCTTCCTTAGCTTAGCTGTGGTTGTTATTACTACCAACACTCCAGTGCTGACTGACTGACTGACCGGGACTTGCTTTCCTGAGGCTACAAGGTGCGAGTGATGTGATGGATCACGATGCGACCGCCAGCCAAAAAAAAAACAAGCAGGAAAGAAACCCCACGCCAATTCCAATTCAGGTCTAGCGTCACGGCCACCCGGAAGACCACGGGGAAACGCCGGAGAGGATACGTACTCCACACATCTCTGCGGCACTGCGGTGCATTCTGTAGCATCTTTTTTTCCCTTCCTTTTCTTCCTTCCCAGCTTCCCATCGCCGAGCTTGGTCCCCGACCATCCACTCTCCACTGCTACCACTCAGCCCCGGAACGAGAGACGCAGTCGACTCTGCCGCACCCGTTAGACGCCCTCGGGTGGATGGACGGACGGTCTCATCATGGCACATGCTTATCTACCCTACGATTACCTTGCTGTAACCCATCTGTCGTAGTGTATATGATAGATGATGTATCCCGCATTAATACCTACATCCCTCGACCCGAGGTTACGGTAAAGCCTGCTGAACTGTACTCCTTCTCAATTACCACCATTGTATGTATACTCCCTAATGGAAGCCAGCCAACGGACGCAATGGGTGGACGGGATCTACGCAGAATGGCCTCACTCTCGGTTTTGCATCCCTGGGATCCCCTACCATCCGTCGGAGAACATGTTACACTGTCCATCAGAACCGCCTTGCTTCATGTGACATCTTTTCAGACAGCCTTACTCGACATATGCATGTCTTCCCTGGCCCTACCCATGAAGCATACCGAGGCGGTACTCCATATGTACACTACCTACGCATACTCAGTGCAGTTGGGGAAGCCAGAACACGCCATCTCACTGGTGCGCATATTTGCTTCCATTTCTGTGTCGGCGAAAAGGTGCTTCGAAACTCTCAAGACACCGCAACCGGCGCCGACTCATGACCTCATGACCCCCCAGTCTTGTTGTACTCCGTACGGCCCGCGCCTCGTAGCCGGCTTCCACCCGGCTCCGACTGGCACCTCCCGGTCTGTGACATCTGGTGATAACATGTTTTGAACTGCCGTAACCTATGATAATAGGTCATGTAAAAAAACAGCCTATGCCTTTGAAATTCCTCTTCAAAACTTGAGATGGACAGTAAGTATGGTTCAACGTAAGACTTTCTTTGGGCTGAAAGGAAGGTTTTTTCAATTGTGCCACGTTGTACAGTATCACACGACGGAATTCAAATGCAAGCAGACTGGCAACATAACGATAGCCTGATGAGATTCTCTCATTGTGTTTTTGTCTGTATACATAGGTTCGAGTCTGAATAAGACTTAGTCAGTATCCAAGGGTTCATTCTTACACGCAGGACTGAATGCTTTCCATAGGTAAGCTTCGATAAATAGGTCATGCTTTTCAAATGACATGAGGATTTTCGAGTGTGACTTTAGCGGCATTCAGGTCACTGAGTAGGATAGTAATCTACAATAATCACATTGGGAGATGAAATACAGCCAATACCCAGTCCCTCCATCTCGTCATCAGAGTGAGATATGCTCTCATCACGCCGAGTGACTCTTCGATGACAGGCAGCGGGGGTTGCCAGCCGACCACGACGCTGACCCCACCCTAACTTTGACAGTCGCGGGGAGCTGTGGCGCTAGCTTCCAGGAACATCAGCTAAAGAAAGAACCCGCCACTTTCGTCAATTTCATCATCATCATTCTCAAATCTGAATTGCTGCGAAAGCTTCACAACTACACCCTTTCCCTTGCCCCAACAACTTCCACCACGGTCCGAAAAGCCGATTCTATCTCGACATAGATACACTTAGGAAGAGACGTCAAACTCCCAACATGTCTCTGGCGCAGCTCTCCCGCCTGCTGCCCCTCCCTGAGGACGAGCTAAAGCAGATGCTCGACTACGCAAACACGCTGTCGAAATCCGAAGCCGCAAACCACTTCAACGACTTACTGGGCGACTCACCACAGGCCGTCGAGTTCATTTCCTCCTTCAATTCACGACGACAAGAGAAAAAGACCCCAGCCCCAGCGCCGCAACACAGTTCGACCAGCTCAAGTGCCCCGGAGCCTGCTCCAAAGACGTCACGGGGACCCAAGAAGAAGAAGGCAAACATACACACACCGACCGCAAGACAAATTGAGGCTGCACCTCCCCCAGGAGCAAGCTACAATAAGAAGTCACAGGAGGACGAGTGGTATGGAGGGAAGAAGCCAGCTCCGGCGGCGGAGAGCAGCGGCAGCAACAGCATCAGCACCGCCTTCCCGCAACTTGGGGCCCCGTCGTCGGGTTCTAAGCAACCACCAAAGAGTGCTACCCCTCCTCCGCAGCAGCAAAGAACGGCCGGAGGCTACCTGATATCCGATGTCAAGGCGAAGCCCAAGTCGAACCCTGTATCACGATCCTCTACCCCCAAGCCTACGACGAAACCTACAAAGATATCGATTGCCGGAGGTACGCCAATGGCAGGTGCATCCACGGCCCTCAACGATTTAGACGCGGCTATTAGATCTTTAGAGCTGACGACGAACCCGACAATGGGTGACGATCCGAAAGCAAGGAGGTGCAACTGCGTTGCTACACGGCACCCGCTGCAGACGGCGGCGCCCAACTGCCAGTCGTGTGGCAAGGTCATTTGCGTCAAGGAGGGCCTGGGGCCATGCACATTCTGCGGCACGCCTCTGCTGTCGTCGGAGGATGTACAAGGCATGATCAGGGAGCTCAAGGCCGAGCGAGGAAAGGAGCGCATGGCTGCGGACAGAGATGCTCATAAGCGGGCCGAGGTCAGCAAGAAGCCGGCGCCATTTAGCCAGAACAAGATGTCCGAGGCGGAGGCCAAGGCCAAGGAGCACCGGGACAAGCTATTGAACTTTCAGGCGCAGAACGCGCGGCGAACGACGGTCAGAGATGAGGCGGCAGACTTTGATGTCAGCGGAGCCATGGCCGGCAGCGGAGGCAACATTTGGTCGACGCCCGAGGAGCGGGCCAGGGAGCTCAAGAGGCAGCAGAAGATCCTCCGCGAGATTGAGTGGAACGCGAAGCCCGAGTACGAGAAGCGGCGGCAGGTGGTCAGCATTGACGTGGTGGGTGGCAAGGTAGTCAGGAAGATGGCGGCTGTGGAGCGGCCGACGACGCCGGACGAAGAGGATATTGTGATGGACGAAGTTGAAGACGAGAACTACAGCCTCACCAGTCAACGGCAGGGTGGACAGGGCGGTGTTGGCGGCGGCGGAGCCTTTAGTCAGAACCCTTTGCTGGGAGGACTGATCAAACCGGTGTGGGACGCCAAGGGAAAGGGAGCGCAGCTGGAGGGCCGTAAGGACAGAAAGACGCAGTGGAGGAGGGTACAGGATGACTTTGGCGACAACGAAGCGGTGATCTTGGATGGCGGGGCGCATGGATACTCGGCGACGGGTGACGAGCCAGCGTGTGGTTGAGTTCACGGTTCAATGACTTGTCGTGGATTGGAGTGGAGAGTACGGGAGTATTAGAGGACCCTCAACAAGTGGTCAACTGGATGATTGGGTTAGAGTCTCTTACAGATGAGACATGAAGACATGAGTAAGCATTCCTCGGGGAGTTAATGGATTTGGACAAAGCATTGTGTAGCGGTGACGGAGATACGCTCGAGTGTTTGCACGTAAGGCATGATTGGGGGCATCTTATATGAGACTTACACTACCTACGGATACCTACCTTGCTAAATCTACCTTATTCAGAGATGGAGATGGGTATGCTCGGTTCACATTTGGGCTTGGGCAGCAATACTTCAGCTTCAGGGGTATCCGTTCAGTAATCCAATCACAGACAAAGAAGAGGCCTGGAACAGCAGGTCGGTCTTTGATGAAGAGCAAACATTGTATACGGATAGAGGATGGATGCAGATGTTCAGGGAAGTGTGGTGGTGAGGTACCGGGATGGGGAGGGACGGGAGGCGGTGGTGGTGTGGTGATGATGGTGGAAGATACCTTGGTACAATATCATGTGACTTCGTGTCTTTGACCTGCTGAGTCAGGCCGAGCGGGCAGCTAGGCGTGTCGCAGTTGCTCGATTTTTGCCCCCACCACTGTCCACGTCGCCTCGGTCGGGGTGTTTCTTTTGATCTGGCAGGCGCGGGCATCGACTCGCCCCGTGTACCTGCCTACCTTACCTTCCATTACTGACTGGCCAAATTCTGACATGAGTTTCCATTGCATCACACTTTCATTTTCTCGTCTTCATCATCTTTAATTTTCTATTCTCTCTGTAGACTCTATTTGCATCCTCTTGCGTGACCACCGAACTGGGGTCCCCGTCTGTTTAGCGAAACGAACCCCAAGAGCGTTAGGTCAGGACGACTGGGAGGGGGGGATTCGCCATTGTTACAGTGGAGGAGCCGCTGCAAGACACAGCCGAGAGACACTGGAGTTTCTCCCCCAAGGGCCAGAACAACGAGAACAAGAGTCAACAATCCACGGAAACACACACGCCCACGCCCACACACACACACACACACACACATCAGACGAGACACACCTGGGCAGAAAAAAAAAACATACGGGGACTTTCATTGTGAAAGAGAACAACCGACGGGAAGGTAAGCCAGGTGGGCGAAAATAACGCGACGCAGACCGCGTAAACCGCCCTTTTCCTCCTCCACCCCAGTCATCGCTCCTCCAGGCTCCCCGTTCCGTCTCCCATCCCCCCGCCCGTCCATCAATCCCCCCAGCTAATTACCTATCGTCTAACTACCGTCTTACTCTTAGGTGCCCGCAACCGTTAGCAAATGCCTCGACAGCGGACAGCACCGCCTGTGTGACCTGCCTAGTGTTGTCCGCGTACCTCACCTATCTATGCAACTGGACCACAGCCCACCACCACCACCACCACCACCACCACACTCAACTGCACCGCACTGTTCCTCCACCACACCGCACACCCGATCCTCGTCGCAACCCTCATCCGTCACCTCGGTCACTCCTACACCTCCGACCACCAAATCCCTCTCTCCTGTCCTCTCGCCGGCCCCGTCACCGTATATCGTCCTGATCAGTGTTTGAATACACTCTCCAACATAGTCGGTCCCTGCGTCCGTTCGCCGCTCGAACCCTCCGTCATCACACTTCAGTCCGGCGCATCACCAATCTGTCCGCCCATGGACTCTACCTCCATCCCGCCCCGGCTGGGCCATATACACGAATCCGACCGACAACGCCTCAAAATACACTCGCCCGCGGCCCTGCAAGACACGGGATTGCTCCCGAATAAAGCCGCTCGTCGTGCTCTGCAGCCTTTGGCCCGACCCCAGCCCGTCGCCTCCCCCGACGCGCTCCCCAACGACAAAGCCGCATCTTCCTTGGGCGACGCGACTGCGAATCACCACCACAATCTCCATAGCCACGCCCACGCTCACCTTCATCCACAAGGCCAACAACCCCAGCCCAGCTACCAGCAGACTTCACAACCCTTTTCAGCGTCAAATCACCTTCCTCGCATAGCCGATCACCGTCCTCCCAAAACCGCCTCAATCGCTGCATCCTCCGCACCTTCTCAGGTTAATCCATCCACCCACCAGCGACCGCTCCCCTCCTCTGACTCGCAGACCTCGAGCCTGTCCGCCGAACCCGCCAACGTCTTCACGCCGCCCGCCAGTCAGGGTGACATGCCGGGAGGAAGCCTCAACAGCCACGATTCCAGCCAAGAGTCACAATTACTTCAATTATCACATATTGCCGCCGCCCAGGACAAGCTGGCCGAGGACAATGTAATGGCAACGGCCCGGAAGCGAATGGCCGACGGTGCTCTCAAGGAAAACACCTCTCCAGTTCGGATGGGCCACTCGAGGAACACGAGCACCGTCAGCATGGCCTCTACTACAGCCAGCAGTATCGGTGATGTAAGTCGGCACGCGACACTAAAACAAAGATAGCATGGCTGACCCAGAATATATAGTGGTCCAGCGACCTCAAGACGCGCCTCTCGTACGCAATGCTCAAGGTCAATCACGGCTGGCAATCACACTCCATTGATGAAGTCGAATCCATGGCGTCCCAGGCCGCCTCGCCCACCTCAAGCCATTCCACCTTGCACGGCCGCCAAGAGCTGTCTGCAAGTCCTCGCGCCAATATGGCTCGTTATCAACCCGTGAGCGCCGCCACCACCGCAAGCTCTGGTCCCAGCCCTGCAACCTACGAGTCCTTCTGGAAGGAGGGCCAAAGATCCACGCATACCTCTGCCTCGCCTCCCGCACCTGTCCAGCATCAAAACGTTCCTACACTTGCACCGCCTGCTCCGATTCAGCCGTCAAGGCCAATCGGGGGCCATAACCCGCGCCGAAATTCAAACCCTCGCTACACTCCGACTCTTCTCTCCCACTCACACAGCGCGTCACCGCATACCCCTTCTCAACCGAACAACAATGCGACGCCAAATCAGAGGTTAGGCCGGACTCCACTCATCGACCCGATTCTCTTCTCACCTCATCAAAACGTTAGAGAGCAGGATGCCATCGAATCACTACTCTTCATGAGCAGTCCCGGAAACTCGGCCAACATGAAGCACAACTACTCGTCGTCAGCAGCCTCGAACTTGCCTGGTCGCCATGCTCTGCCAAGCTCACAACCCCGGAAAAGTTTGCCCTCGCAACGGCCCCTGCCGCAAAAGCGTGTGGGTTTTGAAAAGAGCCCTGGAGGTATTACGGCAGTGAGCGACATGGACATTGACATGGATTCACCTCAATCACGAGGGCCGATGAGGAGGCGAATCAACGGAAGTGCCAGCTTCTCCGGAGGAACCATTGGCAGCACTCTTCGTCCTCAACTGTCATTACCAGCGGCCCTCGGCAGCACCTCACGACCACGGCCTCGCTTAGCGGACGCAGACATTGAGCGGATGATTGATCAAGCAGCGCAAGCGGGCGACAGCTCTGACGACGATGACGGCGAAATTCAGATTCCAGGGAGAAATCGGTCAGAAGGGGCCGTAGGAGTATGAGTGCCGTGTTTTGTCCTGTTTTTTTTCGGGTTTCTTCGCATGGATGATCACCCGGGGGATCTGCATTGCTTTTATTTGGATTGCATATACACACGTGTTTTGGCGCCGGAAGAACCGAGGTTGCAAGGTTCCCGGGCGAAACGCGACGATGATGATGACTTTCTTTTTTGCTTTCTTTGGGACACATATATACACCTGCCCAGTGGATACTGTTCGCCCGAGGTCGGGTTCTCAGTATTACACGGGCATTTAGTTGACTGTTTTTGCCCGTCTTCTATACCAGGGAGGGGGCTTCATTCGGGGAGCATAAGGGGGCCCTGCACCTCTGACGGAGTTTTGAATCTTGGAGTTTCTCTTTTCAGGATGTTATATGCATTGCATGGCCAAGGCCGCGAGTAGCATCACACACGCATAGGATGGTGACCCTTTGGTCACCGTGCAAAATAAAAGCAAATTACTGGTTTGTACAAGTCTGAATTTACACGCGTCGTGAGACGCTTAAAGGTATCTGAGTAGGCCAGCAAGGCCATCGATATCGGTTTCCCTGAATATTCCCATGTCAAAACGTCCACCTCTTACTTCTCTCTAATGCAGTAGCCGTGCAGGTATATAGTAGACAGTAACATCATTACGAGTAAAGCCACACCAAGAAACGCCAGTCGTATCCAAAATAGTCATCAATCCATCCGAGTCTCTCTACCAGCCTCCGTGGTGGCCATGATGTCCGTGGTGACCACCCCCGTGATGAGGAGGCCCGCCGTGGTGTCCATGCTTCTCACGTCCCATCAACGAACCGACCAGACCGCCGAAGCCACCGGAAGAGTGGTGGCTTCCGCCGTGGTGCGGGGGACCATGGTGCGGCGGACCGTAGTGGTGGCCTCCGTAGGGTGGCGGGGGAGGTCCGCCGTGATGGTGGTGGTGATGACCTCCGTAGTGATGGGGAGGCGGGGGCGGAGGAGGCGGCGGGTGGTGGTGTCCGTGATGCCCGTGGTGTCCATGACTGTGGCTGCTGGAGTGATGACTCCCACTCAACCTGTGCTCCAGCTTATTCGCGACCACCGCGCCGCCCAGAGCACCCGCCACGGCGCCGAGTTTCCCGCCGAGGAACTTCTTTCCTGCGTACCCTCCTGCCGCGCCGCCGCCGATGGTGGAGACGAGGCCGCGTTCGCCTTCTTGGCCTGTGCCGAGTTGGGCGTCGTAGCCTGGTGGACCGGAGGATCGGGAGCGGTGGTGGGAGGAGGAGCCCGGGAGGCCGAGAGAGGAGAAGGAGGAGTGAGGGCGTTCTGAGTTTGCGGAGCGGGGGCGGTAGCCTGCGCTATCTATGAGGGGGCCCGCGGAGAGGTGGCGGGAGGAGGAGCCGCCTCCTGGGGTGTGGGTGTTTTGGCGGGTGCCGCCGTAGTAGTCTTGTGCTGACATTTGTGGGTGCTGCTTAGTTGTGTTTGGTGATGATGTTGTGGTGTGTAAGTGGTTTTGTATTCGCCTCTCGAGGTTTGAGTATAAGTGGTGAGTTTGTTGATGAACAAGATAGTAATGAAAGCAAACGGGAATGGGGACTGGGGAACACCAGCCTTAAGTAAACCGGTCGTCTGAACAGGTTCACAGGGGAACCAGTCCAAGCTGGGGGGTGAGTGATCAAGGCATGACTGTGACTTGGAGAGAAACCTAAGCTTCGCGACGAGGATGGATCCCGGGAGCGGCGCAAGGTCGCGCTGGGGCGGAGTTTTCGGGCTTGGGGTGGTGGTAGGGAATTGCGTAAGGCGGCGGCCCCTCTTTTTGGTGTCACTTCACATTCAAAGAGGGACACACTACACACTGGCTCCCGCGTCCATCCCTTCACGGACACTCCACATGGTCGCCGGGGCTCAGCGCCCAACGGGTTGATATTACACGTAATTCACGATGGGCAGGTCATTCTTCTCCGCAGGGGATGGTTCGACACGCGTTTGATGTGTTCGTGCCTTGGCTGTATCGTCTGGCGGCGCTAATGGGCGAGACAGATGGTCATTATGCCGAGTCTTTGGATACCGTCACGGGATTCTCATGGAATGTACTTCTGCACCACGTTCTGCAGAGATGTATCTCTGTATGGAGTATGAGGGATGGGATATATCTGTGTGGGACGGAGCGTCTGATGTGAGAGAAGAAGGTATGCTCGTCATTGTTTGCCCTGAACATTATGCCTGGTGCCTCGACCTTACTCTCAGTCTGTTTATTCGGATATACAGGTACAGACGGGAGGGGACGCAAGGTAGCGTTCCATCTGCAAACACACCTTAATTTTTGCTTATTCGCGGATTGTGGATTACCGGACCTGCAGACGGCAGATTGCGAATGCACGGCAGATTCCCACAAGGCGCATGCTAAGAATATCGAATCGGTGCTGGGCGAAGTCGGCGGGGGAGATCCGAGATTGCCGGCTGGGGTGCGACAGGGTGCGAGGCAGCGTCAAAAGTCGATAGGGCAGACTTTTGGCGAGGACTGAGAGTGGATGTGAGCACTGAAAATAAGGACTGAGGACTGAGTATGAGCCTGAGAGTGAGAGTGAGGATGAAAGTAAGAGTGAAGAGTAGAGGTGAGTGAGTTCGGGGGAGGCGGTGCGCTAGGCCCCACCAGGTGGTTCCACTTTCTCTTTCGGGATGGACCATGTCACCCTCCGTCCCGTGCTTCGGGTCTTCGGCGTTAGGGGTCCCAGTCGGCGAGTCCGGAGAGCCACCGCGATTGCGTCCTCACCTTTACTATCGTCAACCACCGCCTCTCTCTCTCTCTACACTCATGAAATACATCTCACAACAGTCGTCTTCATCAACAACGTCATTCTGAGGCTCCGTGAGGCTTCAAGTACCTCCGCAATCGGTCTCGTCATCTTCTACGGTTCACCTCCGCTGCACCCTCGGCTACACTCGCATCTTGACTTGAGATTATCCCCAGGCACAAAACTTACGTGGGAATAACCTTCATCCCAGCTCAGCCTCACAGACACCTCAGACCGCGCCCACTGCCTCGCAGACGCAAATCAGCCCCGAGTCACTTTGGTTTTGAAAACCTTCAGATCACATCATGTTTTGAATGCAATACCTTATTATTTCCGGTCCTCGCGCTTCTTCACGGCTTTAACAACTTCACACTATAAGTCTCTGTAGACTGGCCGTACTCTACCCAGCAGCCAAGACGGCAGACACGGCTCCACGGCAGCAAGGTTCGCCCGTTCGTCGCCGACTCATGAGAAGCATGAGCCCAGTAACATCCTAATCTGCCCAGATTGAGGCCCACCCCGCTATCTTCTAGAACATGTCGAAACATTTTCTAGGTTCTTGAAAAGATGCCCGAGCCTCACTCGCGGCGCGCTGGAGCTTGGAGCAGGGATGGGACTCTAAAGTCTGAACCCGCGCCACAGTCCACATCGGCATCTCGGAGACTTCGCCCACATTCCCGAACGCGAGACGGCGAGAGCCCACTGCCGTGGCGGAACCACGACCGCTCCGCCGCATGTTCGCTTCCGCCAAGCCACTCTTCCCGTGTCACCCGGCCCGACGTGGATCGAACTGCGCCTAGTATGTCAGTGGACTTGGAACCTCACTACGCCTCACGTGAACATCCCGCCGGCCGGGCCTCAATTCAAGGTACTGGAGTTTTTGTTGCAACATTATCGTCTCATTGCATCGATCAATATGCTATGGACGTACACAGATTCTACGACACGACCAGGCTTCCCTCCAATGCCAGGTTTCTGCTCGACGCTCCAACCTTGACGGTAAACGTACCCGCCGGCACAACCCAGTTCTGGCTTGCGACATCCCAATAGCTCAGATCTTTCCTTCTAAGGTTGAACGTCGCTACTGCTGATTCGCCCTCGCCGAGCCTCAACTTCTCGAACCCGCGGAGCTGCTTTGGCGGAGACAGGGGCGCGCCGGCCGGGAGGGTAAGGTACAACTGCGCGATCTCGGCGCCGGCGATGGATCCCGTGTTCTTGATGGTCGCCGTTACGGTGGCAACGACCTCGAAGAGATCGGCGCGGCCACCGGGGACCACCTGGCCGACGGCCGGGCCGGAAGTAGCTGTGGATGTGACGCTGATGTCCGAGTAGGTAAAGTTGGTGTATGCTGCATGTTTCATTAGCATGGTTTTCAAGTGAAGCATCGACCCTCCCCTAGAGCACAAAAGACTTACACAATCCGTAACCAAACTCGTACCGCGGCTCAATGCCAGCCCGGTCAAAGTGGCGATAGTCGATAAAGATGCCCTCGGCAAAGTTATCCTCGAGCGTCTTGGACACCGCAGTGCCGTAGTCGGCGACACTCTTGCCAATCGTATACGGCAGCTTTCCGTTGGGGTTCGTCGCGCCCCAGAGGATATCAACCAGCGCATTGCCAGTCTCCTGCGACCCGAGCCCAGCCCATACAATGGCCTTGACGCCGGGCTGCGCGAGGATCGTCTCGAGAATGATGGGCCCGACACTGTGCACCACGACCACGACATTATCGTTGACCGCCTCCGCGGCCTTGACGAGCTCGTTGCCGTTGTGCCACGGGTCCAGCGTGTTGCGGTCGCCAATGTTGCCGTCGACGGTGATGTAGCCCTCGCCCGAGTCCGACGTGATGAAGACAAACGCCGCGTCGGCGCCGGCGGCCGCCGTGGCGCCCTGCTGCGCGTCGTCGGTGCTGCTGGCGGATACCTCTGTGCCGTCCTGCTGCGCGCGCTCCCGGATCGCGTCGAGGGGGGCGACGAGGTAGGGGTAGTCTACCGTTCCGGAGCCCCATCCCATGCCGAGGGTGCCGTTGTTGCAGCTGCGGTCGTAGCAGGCGTTGATGCCGGCCGGGTTATTCACGGTCGAGGACCCGATGACGGCGATCTTCTTGGGCGCCTTGAGCGGGAGGATGGCGCCGTCGTTCTTGAGCAGCACGATGCCGTCCCGCGCCGTGGCGCGCACGTTGTCCTTGTGCGTGCCCTGGACGTTGGCCGCGAGGTTGACGGGCGGGTACTCGCCCTGGTCCTGGCCGAGGAGGTACCATGCCGCGAGGATGCGGCGGACTTTATCCTCGATCGTGGTCAGCGAGACGGTGCCGTTCTCCACGACCGTCTTGAGCTGCGGGCCCCACCACACGGAGCTGGGATCGTTGTTGTAGTTGGCGCCCGGCATCATCATGTCCAGCCCGGCCTCGGCGCCGCTGACGGTGCCCGTGGTGGCGTACCAATCCGTCATGACGTACCCCGGGAAACCCAGCTCTTCCTTGAGTAGCTTGGTCATGACGGCGTCGTTTTCGCAGGCCCAGGTGCCGTTGATTTTGTTGTAGGAGCACATTACCGAGGCGACGTTGGCGTGGACGGCCTCGGCAAAGGGCCAGAGGTAGAGCTCGTGCATTTCCCTGTCGCCGACGTTGCTGCTGATTGTCTCGCGGTTGAGTTCCTGCTCGTTGACGATGTAGTGTTTTGCCGTTGCTTGGACGCCCGAAGACTGCATGCCCTCGATCGTCTCCTTGGTTGCGATGCCCATGAGGTACGGGTCCGGGCCGAAGCCCTCCCAGTTTCTACCAGCGTTTGGTGTCTATTTCAGGTTTTCGATGGTTAGCCATGTTACTTAAAATCCAAAGTGCAAAAATTCACGGAATCCGAGAACCTACTTTACCCAAAGCGCCACAAGCAGGACCAAGCATAACATGGACACCAACGCCTCTCGCCTCAGCAGCCTTGAACGCGCCCCTCTGCCGAATCAAATCGACGTCCCACGTCGCGGCCGCCTGGATACCGGGCACGAACGCCGTCACGCTGCTGGCGTAGCGGACGCCGAGGGGCCCGTCCTGGAGACAGAGCGAGGGGTAGTTGATGGAAGACGCGGGCGAAGTGTTACCGACACAGAGGCCCTTGCCCCAGCCGATACCCGAGACGATGCCAATCTTCTCGTCGAGAGAGAGCTTGGCGATGGCGGCTTCGGCTTTGGCGTAGGCTGCGTTCCATTCCGGGGTGCGGACGGGGCTGCCACCTCCCGTGGAGTTTTGCGCGCTGGCGAGGCAAGCCGCTGCGGCCAGGAATGCGATCTTGGGGAGATGCATTTTGAGAAAGGAACGTTCAGGTCTGTGGGACGGATGGTGAAAGAAGCGCAGATGTGTGCGGCCGGGGGTCTTCGCCTTTATACGTCCCCGGAGGCCTGAAGCTCATGAGCCTCTTGGGAGCTTTCCTCCCCGCTTGAGGGGGAGTGACGATCCACACCGTTCAGTAAACCAGAGGTGTCTGGCCAAGCTGCCGAGGACATGGAGAAGAGGAGAGAGGTCGTCATTCCTGCAGGGTCAATCTGCGTGAATTGGGCTCGGTATGTCCCTGTGATCTCATGTCCCGCGACAAGGACATGTATGGTTCCGTGGCCCAGTGGTTGGCATAGTATAAATTGCCAATTGGCCCCCTTCATGTCTTGGCCCTGTGCG